TTTTCCTGCTTTTTACCAGCCAAATCATTACAACAATTATTTACTATAATATTCTCTATAAATATTATTCTTGTTCCCTTGTCTGCCATCAATCTGGAATCACCAAATGAGATTGCCAGGTCATCCTTTTTTGTTTCCACTACTCCAGCATTCTCTGACTTCACACTAACTCTAAAAGTAACTGCCTTACTGATATTTTTTCCAATAATAACACATGTATTATTATTCATTTTAATAATTTCCTCTTGATTGCCCTTACTCCCCCCCTTATTAACTACTCCCACCTCTTTTTCGATTATTCCACTAATAGTACTCTCTTTTGCTACAACTGAATCAGTTTCAACTGTCTCAATCTATTTGGCTTTATTGCTGATTAAAGACGCAAATCTCAACCCAAATATAATAATCTTATCATTAATTCTCGTTGGAGTGTTGTTCCTCTGTCGACTGCCCTTCTAGTTGTTTATTTCCTTTCCTCTGCTTCTGCACAACTTTCCAAGGACCTTCTTCAGTGACATCAATACACACTTCCTCCATCTTGGATGTTCCTTTTGTAGTCCCTTACTCCTTTCCTCTACGATCAACCTGCTCAGTATGTTTTCTTTTATTGTTATGTCAACATCCTTCTTTATAGCGACCATACCTACCACAACTTAAGAAAAGAAGATGAAGACCTTTATATTTTATACGATACTTCTTATCTTTTATGCTAAAGAGCGCAAGTAGATGCTTTTAGAGATTGACTTGGACACAAATTCTCACGTATTTTTCCCTTTCATGTTGCATGGTGTTCTTATAAGCTTTTATCGCAAGCCCAACCCGATTGTCAATAAAAGTCAGAACTCAAGTATAATAGTATTATATTGGTAATCTCGCAATTATGATCCAAACAACTATTTCATCAATGGACTCCTTCTCCAGTTGAAAATTTTGGACTTCACTCCTTTATTGTTAGATAATGATCTTAGATGTACCAAGGACCGTTTTCCATTTCTACCATTTTATCATCCTCGTGTGAAAAAGCTATTAGGTAATAGTTATTGCTCAAATTAATGATTCTGATAACATCATTCTTCACTCATATTTGTTTTAGCTTCGTCTCAAGCGCCTTGTAACCAATCTTCCACCCCAGGAGATTGACAATCACTCCTCTTCTCTAAAGTTGATGAATTTGTTTCACTTCTAATTCAGACAGAACAAAGGTTAGACATTCATAATCTCCTACTTTGTCATCCACAATCTCCAGTCCTTCACCCTCCTCCTAGTGATCACCTTCTAGCACTTCCTCTTCAGCTTCCATACTTGTTTTAGTATTATTTGATTGGTCAGTCACCATATCCCAATACGTTGTGCTTGACCTAGAAAAGACATTCCCTACCACCATTATCCCTTCTAGCATGCCTTCTTTAATCTTTTTAATACTTCTTTCCTAAAAATCAATCTCAACTATGCTCTTCTCCATACTCTTTAGCGAAATAAACCTTAGCAGAGGATTCATCTCTAAATAAATTTAATTTATTTTTTATTAATTTGTTATCCCTCTTTTAATAAATTAAAAATATTTCACCGTCTAATTAAATTATTGCAGGATTTAATAAATCAATATTCAAATACTTAATCTACACCTAAGTATGTACCTAAAACATTAATTGATCTCGTCAATTGAATCATTCAAGCATATTATATTATATGTATATTAGTTTTTACTATGAGCCATATTTAAGGATATCTTAAACAAAATATTCGTCAATAGAATTATTCAAATATATATATATATATATATATATATATATATATATATATATATATATATATATATATATATATATATATATATATATATATATATATATATATATATATATATATATATATATATATATATATATATATATATATATATATATATATATATATATATATATATATATATATATATATATATATATATATATATATATATATATATATATATATATATATATATATATATATATATATATATATATATATATATATATATATATAAAATCTTAACCAAAGTATTTTTAAGATGAGAAACATCACATATTTAAGGATATCAATGGGACATGAAATATACCGAGTATGTTTTTTTTCTTTTCACCTCCGATCCGTATCATAGAGAATTTTTTTTATTGTCATTCCTACAAATTTTCACAATACTCACAAAATTTTACGAATATTGATTTTTAAGAAAAAATTTATACCTTTTGATCAAATCTCCGATTTCAGAGACTCAAACACATAATTTTCACAAAAAATTTCGTTATCAAATGCAAATTGAAATCTCTTTAATTAAATTGCTGCAATATTTCAATATTTCACCGTCCAAATACTTGATCAACATTTTCTAAAATTTCAGTTGTTCTGGTCAATTGAATTATTCAAACATATGTATATGCATATAGTATGGTATGTTCATTTTTAATGGAAAGTAAAGTTGTTACGCTAATTATAAAATTAGCAGCTTAATTGGAACGTTTTTGTTTATCTTCTTAATGCACTAATACCGGCTAAACAATAAATGTCAACGACAATAAAATTAAAAAATTATAATTGATTTTTTTAATTATTTAGTAAAATCTTTCTAAACTACTATTAGAAATGGTTAAAACACAGGCAAAAATTAGAGAGAAAAGTATAACTAATCACCACATATATCTTTTTTAGCACTTACTTTGCTGATAAAATAGAGACGGAATTGTAATAAATAAAAAATAGGCTTAATTTGTCTTTTTCAATCTCTAAATTATTGTTGTTATTTCAATGTTTTTAAAAATAGAATTTTCTAAATCAGGACAATATATATATATATATATATATATATATATATATATATATATATATATATATATATATATATATATATATATATATATATATATATATATATATATATATATATATATATATATATATATATATATATATATATATATATATTTTAAATATTAAAAAAAATCTAAAACAAATATTTTTTTATAAAAAAAAATACCAAAGTAACCGTCACTAGTGGAAAAATACTTTTTTAGCATAGGTTTTTAAGTCAGTTCATCAATAACCCGACTTAAGAAACCACACGGTGGCAAATTTTCATAAATATTTGAAACTTTGTTATGTCGGGTCTACGTTTAACCGACCTACAAAGATTAAATAAAAAAAATATATAATTTTCATTAAATTTCTTAAGTTGGTTCTTTTACTGAAATGACTTAAGAAATTTATTTATTAAGTCAGGTGTTTATTACCTGACCTAAGAAGGTCTTACAAGACTCCGGTTCGATTCTTACCTAATACATTCTAGTGAAATAAACATTATTTAATACTTAGTTAATAAATTTTAATTAAAATAATTTCTGATAACACAGTGACCTTTCTCTTTCTCTTTCTCTTTCTGCGCGCAACTTTCTTCTCTAAGTTTTTGATACCGCGAAAATTTTCACCACAACTTCTTGTTCTCTCAATCTTCCACCACAACTTCCGTTTTCAGATTTGACCATTCTCTCAATCTTTCACCAATTGCCACTGTCACCATACTCACTTTCTCCAGGTTCTCTCTTCTCTCTGCGTTTTGAAATGTTAGGTTTTGATTTTTCAATGAATACATTGTAAATAGTATTTCGTGTTTTCAAATTTGAAGCAGGGTTTAGGTGATACTAAATTGTTGGAGGTTTTGGTGATACTAGCAAAGGCTTTGAACTCTGCAGATTAGGTATGTTTTCATGATTATTCATGTATGGTGGTTCAGTTTCTTTGAATGTTTGATGAAGTATTGATGAAATGTTGTTGTTAAATTGAAGATGGAATTGATATGAATTTTAGTTTGGGTAGGTTTTCTAACTGGTATAGTTTTTCCTCTATTCTGCTGCTTGAGTTTTGATAGTCTTAGCAAGACAAAGCACACCATAATATGGTTTTCAGGAATCAAATCCGCAGCGGCCGCAACCTTACAGTTCAGGATTGAAATTCCTGTGTTTTGGTTAGGATCTTCTCTGCCCTGAGCAGTGAATAGGTTCTTTTGGTTTGGATCGGGTTTGCGCGCGTATAGGTTGCCGTTTTGAAAAACTACGGCCGCGTTGCCAAAGATGAAGTCTACCGTGCCATAAACATCGCATTCGCGGTAGAATTGGCGGAGGGAGTGGACGTAGAAAGTGTCTTGGTATGCCACGCTACTATGCCTATTTCACCAAACTACAAAACCTGTCCAAAATAGGCAAATGAATAAAATAATTGAGTATATGAATAAAATTATGCTAAATTTTATTGACTTAAAAAGCTAGTAACTGGCATACATTGGCATTTCAAAGAACCCTACAGATGTAACCACCAAAAGCAAAATTGTAGGATGGCCAAATATACAACAATAACAACAAAAGTAATTTAGTAATTATAAACCATGGTTTTGCAAGAGTATTTGAATTGAATAGGCTATCTCTATCTAAATGGAACACAATCTCTTCAATTCAATTTTGTTATTCACAACTACTAGTCACTTCACTTCACTGATCCCTCTTTACCTTAAACCGTTTCTGCTTGTATAGCAGCAAAATCTCAGACCAAACCTTCCCTGCCTGTGCTCCAGCTGCCTTCTTACTCACGCCAGAATTGTCCTTGTGCTTCAAGTCATCTTTTGAAGAATTTTCAACTGGCATTTCCTCCATTTCTTGGGTTGGAGGATCAGTGATCAGCTGAAGAAGTTCCATAGGTGTAGAAGCAGGATCCAACTCCAGGAAACCTTTAGGAGCATTTTCACGTTCTTCTCCGGTAAGCAAGTATGAAGGTACCTGGTGTGAAAAGCGAAACATCTCTTCCCTTGGAATGTTCCTGACTTTTCTCGGGTCAGCATTCTGACGGAACACTGTCTTGAAACCTGAAACCTTGGAAAGTGGAGCAACATTCAGACCGTGCTCTTCACTATAGTCGTCAAGCACTTCCACCATTTCACATTGATGTATGACATTATCTTTAGTAAGTTCATCCTAATCAGGGGACTGGTTCTGATATAGAGCCCAAACATCCCCTTTCTTTGGATATACATGGAAAATTCCTTTGGGACCTTTTGTCCACTTGACCCTGTGAGAGAAAGAATTTAGAGTCCTGCTGATTACACGCTTGCCTAATCGAAGATCCCCGGTGGTCTTTGGAAAGCCAGAACCGACCCACTTTATCGGTGCAAATTCATCATTGGTTTTAGAGCTCAGCCAGGTTATCTTCATTTGGAATGGATTCTTTGAGATCACACTGTGGATAAAGGCATAGTAGCGTGGCATTCCGTCTTCATCTTAAATTTGTGTTTTCAATAACTTTGGAGATTTAAAATATAGGGATATTGAATTACAACAATTTAATTATTTTCATTGCAAAATCATTTGTTTGGATTTTTATCCTTACACATACTGTTGAATAATTGGAAGTTGCTAAATATTCTGAATGCAAATTTGTCCTGGTCCTCATCACAGAGGAATCTCAATATGAACTCTATTTAGGGAACTCTGAATGTATAAGCTTATATTTAGGGAGTTGTTTGTTTGAGAATCTCTTTTTTTTTTATTTGGAGTGTGTGACAGTAAAAAACAAGGGGCACATTTTGATCTAAATAAATGTTCTTTATGCTATCTTGTTTAAATGTTCCTTATTGTATCGACATCGGTGATCTGTTAACGTTCTTTATGCTATCTTGTTTATGCTATCATGTGATTTGTGTTGTCAAGATGCTGTCTTGTTTTTGGTCTAAAATTGAAGGTTAAATTGAAGATTAAAGATGCTGTCAAGATGAACAGCATAACAGTGGAACTACATACTGTTACTGTTACTGTACTATTAATCATCATCTTTTTAATTACCATTTTTTTAATTACCATCTTTTTAAAAATAATACTGTTACTGTACCATTAATTTTTGGTGCTATCGTTTTAATTACATGAGCTAATAAGGGTGTATCCACCCGTTGATATATTATTCATATTAATCTCAACCTACTTGAACTTAAGAATGAACTAATGATATTTCTGTTCTGTTATATTTTTTGAACTCTCTATTTGCTAACTTGATGATAAACAATATACAATTTATAGGATAAAGCAATTAATGCCTTTTGATTTCTGTTATGATAAAGCAATTAATGCCTTTTTCTTTTTCTTTTGATTTCTGTTCTATTATATTTTTTGAACTCTCTTTTTAACTCTCTATTTGCTAACTTGAATTGATGATATTTGTAGGATACTCTGGTGTCGGAAGGAAACTTTATCCCACAAGGACGACAAGATATTTTGACAGAAGCCACAGGGCGAGGTGAGCACCCTGGTCGTGTTCGTGCTGTTGGTCGAGGTGTGGGGATTCGACAATTCTTTGGATCCCATTCTCGTAAACATTTTAGTACCCCGCCTATTTTGAATAACGACCAAATAGAGACCATAAAGGCCGAGCTTACGAAGGAGATTAGAGAGCAAGTGATGCGGGATATATCATCTTTGCCAGCTTTTTCTCAAAAATACCCAAATGATCCTGTTTGTTCTCCTAATACCAATTTACAATATGCAAGCACAAAGGGTAGTTGTTCAAGGGTGTTGCATATGCCAAACGATGATCAAGAGGATATTCCCGAAGAATGTGAATTGTATGTTGATGGAAACACTCATTTAGTGGCATATGCTAATGTGTATAAGTTGGGGCCTAATATACACAATCAGGTGCTGAATAATGATATGGTGAGAGTGGTTGTTACCAAGGTGATAAATGAAAATGCTAAAGTACCAGTGCCCACAGATGAGGTTACAACGGTTGGTGAGGCCTCCAATACTTTCATTCAATGGCCAAAAAGACTTTTGCAACTTACTTCTAATAAGGTATTCATTATATTTATTATTTTCGTTTTACACAATTGAGACCTTTTTAATATGTTGTCTAATATTTTATTATATTTCACAGGTTCGGTATAAGAAATATGATGTTCCACCAAAAAAGTCAGAACCTATCTGTCAAAAGTTGGTAGTAAAGCCAATGTATATGGATTAAACTTTGAAGTTTAACGGTGAATTCGGTGGGACATATGCCTCTATTGAGCTCCTAAGGGAAGATATTGTAGACTTGTGTATGGGTACAAAAGAATTAGGCATCACTATCTTACAAGTGTGGCTCATGTAAGTATACTTTATTTGTAAATTTAATAATTTATCATTTACTTAATTTCATTTATAATGCAAATAACTTTCAATATGTTATAGATATCTACACCGCCTCTGTATGGAATTGGGCAACAATAATGTTTATGGATTTATTGATCCGGGTTTCACTCATAGTCAAAATGAGCGTGGTAGTGTTCAATCCTACATACAAAAGAAGATGTGTGATGATACAAAAGAATGTTACCTTACTCCTTATTTTAACAAGTAAGAATTTTCTCTTGTTATAGTCAAAACGACTGTATGTCAATCACTTATTGTATTTTATTCTTGTAGTCATCATTGGCAGTTGTTCATCATTAATCCTAAGAAGTTTGAAGTAGCCTTTCTATGTTCTTTGGGAAAGAAGCCAGATAAAAAAATTTATGACGTTATTGAATTGTAAGTCTATACTACACTTGTCAATTGATTCAACTTGTAAGTAAATAGTATAAAAGTGAAGTAGTAATATTATTATAGTATGATTTTTAGTTTCTTGTTTCTGTTGCATATTTATCAAATGATTTATGGTTCTAAAACAAATGTAAGTATCTTA